CACACACACACACACACACACACACACATTATGCTTTTGCTGTTATAACATTTCTGTCTCTATGATTACACAGCTCAGACAACACATCTATACTTTAATGAAGAAACAACAGATTTTTGTGTGTGTTGTGTGTTTAGATGGTTCCCCTCATCTTTCACTTTAATTTAAACCCTGATAAAGAAGGAGCTGAACAGCTGGGTTTTATGTCTTTTAAAGTTGACCCTTCCTGTTCCTTAACAAATATTTCTTCAGTAAAACAACTATAAAAGTTTTTACTGTAAACTACGATAATTTTAACATCAGTAAAACCAAACTAAACAAGTACAAATTATTTCAGGTCACAAAGAATTGTTTAATTAATTTATTTTTATAACAAAGAGTTATTCTTCAGGCTCATAATGATGCAGGCTGTATCTGAAGCTGACCCACAGCTGGCACACCTTTTTTTCTCCTTTTTCTCTGGAAATGTTTAAAAAAAAAACACACAAATACTGGATGTAGGCAATATCTGAATAAACTGGCTTTTCTGACGTGTGTTTATGATGTTCAATCATTACATTAGTGTCTGTCAGTGAGTCAGTTTCTGAATTATTATGCAGTCWATCAAGTCAGCAATCCAACAAAGTCCATATTTACATGTTTAATATCAGTAAATAATATATTTGACAACAGATGAAATAGATACTRTATAAGGTTAAACATGAACATCGAAGGTTTTAAATGTTAGCATACAGGTTTTTCAATTAAAATAGTTAATTTTGGTTAGATATGTGTAATATTTACCTGTGAAATATAACATGTTGTAAACATGTAACAATCTATGTAGTTTATAGCAAAGTATTTGTACCATTTAAGCATTTATAAAGCATTTGTTTGCACCGCGCCACATTCTGCTCATTGATTTCAATGGTTAGCATTAGCATTAGCTCAATGCATAAAAATCCCCCCTTGCGAAGCCACGCCCAGGTCACGTGACGCCCAATCATGTTATATATATCAGTCAATGATTCAAAAATGTTTAGAGTCATCAAGTGTGAAACATTTAAGACAGCTGACAGTCTTCACCCTGAAGGTCAGACCGTGCAGTGATCTCCATCTCATCCTTAGATAGCTACATCAAAGGTCATGACCTATTCTTTTTAAAAAAAATTGAAGGAAACACAAGACTTCTAGGATAAAACCAGATTAAATTACAGATAATTACCCAGAATGCACTGCAGCACAGTTAAAAACCACCTGCAGCTCCGTCTTGTTTAGGGAAAAAAATGTTCACAGTTCTGATAAATGTTGTTGAGTTCCTTAAAAGATGATTATGTCAGAAGGTTGCAGAGAAACAGCTGCTTGAGAACGATTTACTAACGAGCGCCATGATACGACGTGTGTGTGTGTGTGTGTGTGTGTGTGTGTGTGTGTGTGTGTGTGTGTGTGTGTGTGTGT